ATGGCACCAAGCTTCTCTTGAGAAAGTGATAGTGTTCTGTTTCGATAACTGCCTAACCAACTTCTCACTGAACACGGCTTTGATGTTTTCGTTGTCCAGCAGCACTTGTAGTGGTTTTGTGGCCAAATTTTTCTTACGTCCATTGAGGCGCAGGGATATACGCGCTCGGACCAATGCGTGGTCGCTATCCAAGCATGTACTCCGGAAGGAGTGGCAGTCTTCCACTGATCATCTCCAGCTATGATTAATAGCAATGCGGTCTATCTGTGTCCATCGCTGAGTTGAGCTCGGTGGACTCCACTTCAGACAGTGTCTTTCTTTATGTCTGAAGTTTGTGCCAGTTAAAAGTAGGCGGTTATCTGAGCATAGTTGTAGTAGGCGATCACCGTTATCTGTACTTTCAGCCGGGACTCCGAAAGTGCCACCCAAGTGCCTTTCTGCCTCATTCAATCTACCCACCTGTTCATTAAAGTCACCTGCAACAACCACCACTTCCAAACGTTTGGCTTTTGAGAGGAGGATAGACAGTTTATGGTAGAACTCGTCCTTCACTTCATCCGAACTACAGTCAGTGTTTGCGTAAGCAGAGATTACAAAGAGACAACGGCGACTTTCACTATTCCTTTTAGTTCTGACTGTGCCGTTCAGTCAGATATGGCAGAGGCGACTATCAACTGGGATCCAGTCTAGTAGTGAGTTTTCTGGCCTAGTGCTTAGTGCTATGCCTACACCTGCCAAACCTCGAGAGCTAGCCCCATCTGGTGTTGTAACTCGAAATGTATCTAGCTGATGTATCTAGCACCAGATGAGTAATGCAGAAGTTAATTGTAATGTTTTAGGGAGGGAGAAGAGGTAAGTCAGTTGACGAGGTTGTGAACCTTGATGGAGTGAGATGTCTGGTTGGGACATGTGTTGCGTATGCCTATTCGCCATCTGTCTCGTAACACAATGTTGGCCGAAGTAGGTTCAGACTGGAAAAAGGTCCGGGGTGGCCAGACTAAAACACGGCATCAATATATGAAGTGTTTAACTGTTGGTTTGAGCCATGTGAGGCGGTGCAGAATGGGTGGTTGGGGTCGGTGGGACAAGAAGAAGTAGTGGTTAGAGAATGACTAGGTGGTGATATGGTTGAGAACCGGTGTCAGTGGTGCAGATGTATCCCCACACACATTATCCTCATCTTAACGCGTTACCGAATCTCACCATTTTCTCATTCTCTCTCTCTCTGTCTCTCTTTGAGTACTTTACATTTCTTTTGACTGGATTTTCTTTTCTTCATCTTGCACTTCACTGCTTTGTTGGTTGATGTAGTGATATGAGGTGTGGCAAGTTGGACTGTTACGCAGTAATGCTTGATCCTATGTTGACGGTGATGTATTTAGCAGTATCCATCCTTTCGTATTGTCGTAGTACATTGTCGGTAACGACACTGTTTTTAAGTACAGAGTTTTGTTAGTGCCATGCTGCGGATGCTGCATGGTGGTAGGGAAGTCTTATTTAAGATGTTACTTGGAACTATGGTGCAAGCGGTTAGCATGTGTATAGGGAGTGGTTGTATCAGCGCTAATGGAACTGTTTCGTTATCTGATGTAAAGGATGCACTTCTGAGCCCCTCTTCTTAACTGGGTTAAAACCTCTTTCTTCTGTAAGTTCACTAACGGTTGATGGTGATCCAGCTTTTTTCTTTATATCAGTTATGTATTTCGAGGTATGTCTGGTGGGCATTTCGCACTTGTCAGATATGAGATGATACTCTAGGACTGATCTACAACTACTCCCAGTTTAATGATATGGAGTGAAATGGCGGAATGTGTCGACTACCTCACTTACTTGGGAAGTCACATCATACCGTGCAGGCTGGTTTACGATGAAATCTCAGCTCGTATGCAAAATGCCCACTTGCCGTTTGCCAACTTGCACCATCTGCGGCACCGACTGGTGAGATTTCTGACTATATATCAAAGGATGAGTATAATGCGTTGCAGTCCGTTCTGTCCTGTTATACAGCTGTGAGACAGTCGTTGAGAGTAGAAAACACAAGACGATTACCGGGTTTTGTTCATGTGTCGTCGCACCCTTAGTCGCGTTTTGTCAAATCACCTTGTTGAGGTCTGGCGGAAGGCATTTGGCAAGAAAGGTAAGTCGATTTATGAGTTTGTGAACTTTCATCGGCTGAGGTGGCGTAGACAGGTGTTGCTCGTGCCGAGCCACTGCCCACGTCGATGTACTGTGCTAGCGGAGAATGGATTGCGTTGGAAGAGGGTTCAGGGTGGAGATATCAAGATGTGACACTAGTCGATCAAGTCTCTTACTGTTGGTCTGAACTGTCTGGAGGAATTGTAGTCTGCCAAGCTGAGTCGAAATGAATCAGCAGTTAAGGATTCTTGGTGACATGACTAGAAATCAGTCACAATGGCTCAGATGTTATCTACTTGACATTTTGTAAAGCTTGAGTATTTTCACTAAGCGTTATGCTTGCATTGTTTATCCTCTCACACAACTTTGTCTACTCCGGTATCACTTTTTCTATCCTCTTTGAAGTGTGTCAACTTGAACCGATGGAATTATGTGCGAGGTTCTAAATTGATTTTGTCTGGTTTTGAAGAGACAGCTATGCGTTCATCCGGAGTTGGTGGGAATTTTCATCATGAAGAAGCCTGGCGTGATATTCTATTTAAGGCAAAAACAGAGATGAGCATAGTGTGTAACCTATGCCCGGAGGTTAGCAAACTTCAATGAATTTCCTCACCCACATTCGAACTGATTGATGCAAGATGATTCATTCCACCAAACTCTGACCAAAATGAAGAGCGAGGTAGACAAAAGTTCTCAGTAATCGCGAGCACTGGTGTGTGGTAAAAGTGAAAGAGGAAAAAGGTATCAACATCAGTTAATACCTGGCAATTATTAGGCTTATTTGGGATACCGACAAGAAGAGGACAATGCCTATTGAAACCATCACCAAAGTGGGTGGAGATCCTAGTAGCCTATTAGAACAGATGGTTAGGTCAGGCAAAACACTTCAGCGAACAGTTCAATTAATCACGCTGCAGATACGTAGCACTCAGCCTACATGAGACGCAGATGTTGGTTTCCCAACTGTTTTCGAAGTTAGGGGGGTGTTTCAAGCTTAAAACGATGCAAAGTAGCGACCCCTGATTATTGGCCACCAGGAGCTTTTGAGATTCGAAGTTAGTGGGTAGAATAAGAGAGGCACTTAGCAGTATATAGAAATCAAAGCTAGTTATGTTGGACCGGTAAGCTCGCTAATCATTCCAGTTTAAACAAAGACTCGAAATCAGTTCACAAAGTCATTGGTTGTTGGTTTGAGCCGTGTAGAAAGGTGGTAGAAATCAGCAGTTGGAGACGCTAAGTAATATGGTTGAAAATTGGTTACGATGTCGCAGATGTACCCACTCTGCTATTTTCAAACTCGTGAATATTTAAAAAACCTATTCGTTTATTTTGTCTCCTCACCCACACTTGTCTAACTTTATATCATATTCCCTACACACTTCCTTGGATGCTGCTGTGAAGTGTTTGAACTTGAACCGGTGTTCTAACTTCTACCTCCATCTGATATATATATATATATATATATATATATATATATATATATATATATATATATATATATATATATATATATATATATATATATACAGAGAGAGGCCAGACCTGAGAGCCCTGACCTATAAATGCCTAAATTCATCGTATCCATGTCCGTAATTTCACGCAAAACACTTGAACAATTATTGAGGTTTATTAGTTTACTTTCAGACGTTCTGTGGGTCTGATTAGTGAGTGAAGTCATCTCATAACACTTCATTCGATGGTCTAAGTACATTTTTTGCATGACATTTTACTACTCCGTACAGAACACAATTTTATCTTTGGAACTGACTGAGAGTAACTTGTAACTACCATTGTCCTACAGCGTTTAGAATAGAAGTCTATTGCACTGACCTATCACTGGGTGATATCTTACAATCGGCTAGACTGTATCTCATTTATTATATTCCACTAGTTGCTAGCCGATATTTCTAAACATCTAGTAATTATTACCTCTTGTCGATTACTGTTTTTGTCTTATTTTATCTGAATAAGCGTAGACCTTTCTTTGTCCTACTATCGACAAAACTTGATAAAAAAGTAACATTTGTGAACATGGTGACTCGTGATTTTGACGATTTTTACTTAAAACTATGGCTATCTACTAAAATCACCCAGAAAATATGGTGACTTTGTAATGCTTATGCGTAATGTTAACATCATGACTGCTTTTGGAGACGATCTCTACCAACATTTTGTGTGAGGCACAGTGTATTAAATGGTATGAAGGAAATGTGAAATATATTGATCAGACTGTGAATTGTGATTTCGCAGCTGTAGATGAGTGGATTAGAAAGATGACTATCAAAAATTGGATCACGGATTTGAAACTCGCCCCACCTATCAAAGTTTGGGGAAGCCAGGAAGTGTCACTAGCCCTCATACTATAAGTATGACTCATTGCCTAATCCATGGATGTGCACAAGAAAGCTGAGTGCCTTTCATTCACTCTAACTCTGATTTCATTAATGTGGTGTGGTGTAGTGTAGTCATTGTAACAGAACAAAGCCCTTTAATTAAACTGAGGATATATTTTTTCAAACGGTTTTTCATGTAACAATTGTTTAAACAAATTTTGTCTGTCCATAAATTATTTGATGCATTGAAGCACATAAAACTATATATTTTTCTTTATCAAGAAATGTACATTGAAAGTAACATTACTAGACTAGATAGTTGTATCTGTCATGCGATGTAAACTTGTAGCACCCTAATGTTATTACGTAATGTTTGTTAGTTCTCACATGACTCGAACACTAGACCATTTGTTGAAAAAATAAAGCCATTTTATGTTTTTATTTACATTATAGGTTCACCCAGTGAATTTGATTGTGTTTGTTCCCAGTTTTTCACTTCGCTATAGCTTTATCAATGCTGGTCGTATCAAAATGGATGACTGTTCTTCTGTATCATTGAAAGGTGATATAGCTCCTTCTTCTTGCACTGTGGATAAACTGGATATTCCATCTGCAAAAAGTCCAGATCCCTTATCAAGTCAATACTCTAAAATGAGTTTCACTACCCATCAAAATAACAATACCAACAACAATGACACCTCTCGAAATGATAAATTAGTTGCTGAAGATCGATCAACTGGAACGACTACTGAAGATTTGGAACCTGCTTTACGACGTAGTAAACGTGGTAAAGGAAGACCTAGTAATAATCATAGTAACAATAATAATAACGATGGATCATCAGACGATCATGTTCCTTCGTGTACCATTTCTGGTGTCGAATATCGTACAGGTTTGTTGTTGATATAAACCCTTATTCCCATAGTGCATATTCTCTTTTCATTTTACTTATAAACGAATGAATTGACCGGTTCTTATCGCTCAGACAGGTGGTTATTATGCATGTCTTCCTCACTTGCTAAACTGCTTTTATTGAAGTTGACAGACAGAGGGTTATCAGAAGAATATGATCATTTTGAAATGTATATAACAGTTGGCTGTAACTCAGAAATCACGCCCCTTGGAGACTGTTACTACTATCCGGTTATCCAAGCTTCATTAAGTCAAGTGGAATTCAATCCCATAACTCACTGGTTAAAAATTGGTTGTCTGATCCATATTAAATACAACTTTACAAGGGTTGACGTACTCCTGTCATTAGCTATACGCAGGCGGTTTATTCGAGTTTTATATCGATACTTTTGTGTTCGAAATTCTCAAAACTGTCGGTAGAGGTGATATTGTTTACACGTGCATTTCTGTGTTACAACTCAGTCAGTGATTGTGTCAATTAGGTGAAGTAAGTGTGAATCTGTGATCTATCACATCAGTTAACAGTTATTCGTCTGAACCATATGACTAGATCTCTTCAATAATGTATGTAAAAAGCACTGGAGAAGACATGTTGGATATTAAAGTGAATTTCTTTCTTTCATTTCCCTCCATACCTTGTAAAGCTTAGATGAAATAGTTTTACAGATTAAGGGTATGTATTCAAATACCTGAATGGATTTGGCACATTAATTGAGATTATTGTATTTTCCAGTCAGTACAAAAAAGTCAGTGATGGAGTTAATTTTGAATTAGTACTAGCCAAAATTTTCAGGTATCGAATATCACCATCTCTTGGGATTTTAACAGTTCACTTATGTTCAGTCACAAATAGTTTATAGTTAGGTATCATACTCATACTGGACCCAGTATAGATAGACATTGTGTATTCAAGGTACATCATATATTATGTTATTATTTGTCCGTTGGGTTCCTAGTAGAACATAGGGCTTCAGTAGCACATCTCCAGTGCACTCAGTTCTCTGCAATCTTTTGAACCTGGCTCCATGGCAGCCCAGAAGCTCTCATTTCTTCCTCACACGATCTCCTCCATGTCACCCTCACCACGGACGTCCAGCTCGTCGCTTCCCATGGGGATTCCACTCGAGCAACTGGCCTGACGCGTGATGTCCCCAGTCGGCCTTCTCAGTGCATGCCCAATCCATCTCCACTTCCTTCTAGTGCATATTTATTGAGAGATAGGTTCTTGCTTTGTTGGTTCGTTGCCAGGTCACACTTCCTCCTTGTTTATTCTTTCTGGCCATCTGAGCTGCGGTAACGAGCTTGGGCAGTTGTTGATGAATGTCTGTAGTTTGCTGGAAATGCCTTTCGTAACGCGCCAGGTATCTGAACCATCACATAGAAGCACTGACTTGACGTTGGTGTTGAAAATCCTCATCTTGTTCGTTATGCTGAGTGCGAAAGATATCCACACTGGTTTCAGGTTAATGAACGCCTGTCTTGCTGTCCTTCCGATCCTGGCTGGCTTTGACGTCCTTGTCTGTGCCACCTGTAGTTGAAACGGTGCTGCCTAGATAGGAGAAAGAGATTACTTCCTTTGGGTTGCTCCTGTTGATGGTGATTGGAACTTGTTGTTGGTGGTGTTGGTTGGGTATCTTCATCACCTCTGTCTCCTCTACGTTCACTTGAAGTCCTGTATTCGCTGCCTCTTCTGTTACCCTATTGGATTTTGCTTGTAGATCTTCAAGTTTGTATGACATTCGACACAAGTCATCGGCGAAATCGAAATCTAGGATTTTTACCTCGGTCCAGTCAGCGTATCCCCTTCTCCTCGTTCCTCACTGTTTGTTGCATGATCCAGTCGACCACACTGAGGATCATGTGTGATAGTAGATAGCTTTGTTATACTCCTGTCTTCACTTCAAAAGCATCATTGGGCTTCCCATTGTGCATGTGGCATCTTCATATTGTTGTTGAATGAGGTTGGTAAAGGTTTGTGGTATTCCATAGTATTGGAGCGGTTGCCAAATTACTTGTTGGTTGACGCTTTCGAAGGCCTTTTCAAAGTCGATGAAGTTGAGGTAGAAAGTTGACTGCCCAGGTACATCATAATGACTGGAAATTCATTTGTCGATACATATTTTTCACCTAGTCATTAAATGTTCCTGGAATCTTATTCTTTACTTCTATGTTCCTTGCTCAGTGGTGTAACCATAAATAGTAGATGTCCACCTTGACTGGTCATGCTTTTCATTTTCATAATAAAAATAAATAGATTATTGCATTACGTATATATTGGTCAATTAAGACAAGTAATGTAGAGTGACGAGCACTGACCGAGATAACTGTAACGATGGACTAACACAATTGTTTCATTATCTGTAACCCTCAGAGCATGTAATTTTAGGTGATTGGTTTAGGCAGTCGACTTTCAACCAATGGGTAACAGATTCGAACACTTCCCCACCTACTGGGGTGGTTTGGATAGCCAGGTAGTATCATTAGCCACTGTACAATGAGTGTGGATCATTGCTAAATATGAATATAGTTGCTGAGTACACTTTAGTTTTTGACCCCTAGAGCATTAGTCAGAAATACTGTGGCGCATAATGCATAATAATCGCACAAAGCGGTTTGATCTTATCGATTCCTCTTATCGAAAGTGTAAAAGTTCATGAAGGCATCTTTAAATAAATGGAGTCTATTAATGATAGTTAGTAATTAGGAGTAGAATATAGGATGCACATTCCGTCCTATTTGAGATTCGTCAGGTGGATACTTGCCTCCCAGTGAGCTATGTTTTCCTCAGTAAGATTCGAACCCGAAACCGATCACTACAAACGCTAGGTCATCGAGTCACAATAACGATTTCCTGTCCGATTACACAATACAAGTAACAACATGAATACATAGTCTACTATCTTTTTTCAATTCGTTACTCATTGTTATTCTTCTCTTTGCATTGTTTTAAACAAGGTGATTTTGTCTACTATGAAGAACCGGATTTTGAATATTATACAATTGGTTTAATCGAAGAAATCAAGGTATCTAGACGTGATAAATTCTCTGTATTCATTAAATGCTTTTATCGAACACGTGATATACCGGAAATTTCGAAACAAGCTCTTCCTGATCGCGATAGTTATCCAACTAATTCTAATGTGAAATTAATTAGAGATGTAAGTTGTGTGTGTATAATTTTGTTGGTTACTTTCTTTTCATTTTCTCTCTTATACCTACGGACGCGCACATCTACACTCACTTGTCACCAAGCTTTACAGATTTTTTATTAAAGCATATAGGTGCACGTTCTCTCTCGCACGCACACACATAAGCTAAAATTCGGTTTGTTTACACCTACCTATCTCAGCATCGTTTCAACCACAGGCCGCATAGATGAGGACGTGAAAGCCAGGATCGAAAAGATAGGCCTTCACTAACCTGAAATCAGTGTGGAGATCTACTGCACTCAGCATAAAGCGTGAACAAGATCCGGATTTTCAACAATAAGTCAGTCAAGTAAGTCAGTGCTTCTATGTGACTGCAGACATACATCAACAGCTACGCTCACTCGATACTGAAGATCAGATGGCCAGAAAGAATAGGCAAGGAGGCACTCACTCTGGCAACGAACCAACCAAGAAGCTGTCGCCCAACAAATATGCAGAAGAGAGTGGGATGGATCGGGCATACATTGAGGAGAGATCACGCGCCAGACCAGATCCTCGAGTGAAACCCAAAGGAGAAATGGTGAGTTGGGCGTCCGAGGGTGACATGGAGGAGATCGTGTGGGGGACGAAATGAAAGCTTGTAGGCAGCCGTGGAGCCAGGTTGAAAATACCGCAAAGAACAGAGTGAAATGGCGACGTGCCACTGAAGCCCTATAGTTCCATTAGGAACTCAAGGGACAAATATTAATAATATTACCTATCTATCTATCCATCATCATTGATTGAAATTGAAAGTATTGTATGACAATGTATTTTAGTCTTGTTTATGGTATTTTTATGAATGTAAGTGTAACTGTGGTATGACGATTGTTAATGTGAAATGGAAAAACCTAAGTCACAGTATGATTCAAATCGAATGGAATCGAAATAAAAATGCACTCAACAATCACGTTCATATTCGTGAAGTAACAGGCAATGGGACACGTGCTACGTATGCCTAGCCACCGTCTGCTTCGTTGCACAATGTTGACCAAAGTATATCCAGGTTCAAAAGAAACTTAGGGAAGCCAGACTAAACATGGCATCAAGGCATGAAGTCCTTGACTGTTCATTTCATCTATGTAGGGCAATGCAAAATGGTTGGTTGGGGTTCATGTGATAACAGAAACCATTGGTTGTAGACTGTAAGTGATATAGTTCAGAACCGATGTCAACGGCGGAGATGTATACACACGTCATCTTCATATTAACCGCTATGCTTAATTTCATCATTTTCTCATCCCTTCTTCCTTTCACTACTTTCTACTTCTGTTCACTGGCTTTTCTTTCTTTCATTCATTTGATTGCCTTTTTATTTGATGTGCTGATATGATCCTGATCATATCAGGATCCTGATCCTACGTTGATTTTGACCATTGGTGATGAGGCAATGAGCTAAATGTATTGTATGACAACTAATGATATTGCATGGTAGGTGGAGCAGTTTTTCAACCCATGACTCACTGGTTGAAAGTTAAGTGTCTAAACCAACTCCACTGCTGGTTGCTTGTCCAATTCAGCTACAGGATCCAACTGGTGACTTCATTTCAATCACCAAGTGTTTTGCCCTGTTGTCATTTAGATTCATGATATGTAGCTATTCGTTCATCATATTTATAGAAGGGCTGCACTGCATAGTTTAGTATGTAAGGCATTTCCCAGTTGAAAAAAAGAAGAGTCGTTGAGATTCTCGACTATGATTGATTGGGGGGTGGGGGGTGGCGTTTAATCTAGTCCCTTGACAACTGGCTCAGTTGACACAGGAAGAAGACAGTGTTGAACTGAAGCGATATATGAATTCCCAACCCAGGGATATAATTCTTGCCTTTATATACAATGCATGGGCCCTTGAGGGGGAGAATAGACAAAACCGCGTTTTTAAAAGTAGTAAAATGGAGCGATATAATATCCCCAGCAGATGTCATTTGGAGAGAGAGAGAGAGAGACTTAGAAATTCATTCAAAAAGAAGTCAATTTGAAACTAGATGTTGGAAAATTATTGAAGTAACAACATTAAATGGTACAAGAATTGCAGAGTTCTTAGGCGTAGATGTTGTCGAATACTTATCATGCTCGACCAACGTAACATCAGGATGGATTATGAACTGATATTCACATTGATACTTAATGTTAAAGTAAAGTAAAGAAAAGAAAAGCCGGGATATATGCTTAAGGAAGTGAAGGGTATTTTTGTATATAAGACCACTTTAGTGATAATGGATATACATTTATTCAATGTTTAATGGTGACGATTAGAATCTGAATTTAGAGGTAGTTTCACATGATCTATCCATCCTGTATCAGTAACGTTCAATATATATGTTTCAGGTTCGAGTACATTGGACTGCAGTTTTCTAGTCTACAATCTATTGTACATGTAACGATTCAAGTAGTTGATTCCTTTTAATTTGTGATAATTAATCGATTTCAAGATGGTACTCATCACAGACTGACACTTGTTGAGTGAATGATAAAGCGCTCACCGTGAGACTTGAAGCTCCTGAGTTCGACCCCTTAGTTAGGTCATTGTGTGCGCACTACTAAAGAGTCTACGATGAAGTTGGTATCCAGTGTTCCCAGATTTTCAGTGATTCTCCAGTTGATATCAATCCGTAGTAGTTGGGTAGCATGATTTTCAACTGGAACAGGTTATAGAATTAAATCTTTTCTGTTTTCTGTACTGGAGCTAACTATGGATATGAAAGGACTGTGGGTTTAACAAATCACATTTTAATTATACTATACTCTCATTAATGAATGGTTAGTTCGTTCATTATACTTGGAGTAGAAGATATCAAAAATATGAATCTATGGCTTATTGATTTAGATGCTTAACTTCCAACTGATATACTTAGGGTTCGAATCCCTTTGATGGTGCAGTGATCGAAATCTGGTCAGCCAGATAATATCATTAACTCTCGCAAAATAGGTCTAGCTTACTGCCACCTACTGCACGAGTGTGCTCGTGGTTTCTGAGTGCAGTTTGATTTCAACATGTCGAAAATGTTTTAAAGTAATACCAATGTACTGGTTACCTTATAGGAAATACAGCAATTATATCAACTCTATTCTGCTAAGTATTTATGTCGTCTCAAGCATACTCAGCCACCTCATACACATCATTGTAGTAGGCAACCAGCCACACCTATTTTTTGAAGGTTAGTGATACTATCTGTCTGCTCAAAACACCTCAGTAGGCGAAGCGGGGTTCGAACCAGTGACCCATTGGTTGAAAGTCATCTCCTTAAACTGCTGAGCCACAGCCCCACTTAGTATATAATATATGCCGATGTTCATTGAGAAAATGTGGTTTTATGGTTTTGCATTGTGTCTAAACTTATCAATAATATAACTATATATTAAAAGTAGTATTCATCATGGACTGACATCAGATGGGGAACCATTGAAAATCTGGGAGCACTGGACAACTGTTTCGTTCCAGTATGAGACTCCTCAGCAGTACGCACCCACGACCCGGCTAGGGATGGAACTGAGGACGTTCAGGTTTCACGGTGAACGCGTTAACCATTCAGCCACTGGGTTGGTTTTCAGTGGTTCACAATTTCCAACTTCTGTCAATTCACGACATAGCGCGACTGTCACCCAGGGTCTTCAGTTAGCATCCATTTCACTTCCGACTGGTTTGGTTGATCCTACAGGTCACAGCTTTTCATTAGAACTTCCTGACATCCATCTGGAAGCAAGTCACTAATGTGCACTGTAGAGTGATTTTCAGTGGTTCCCTAACTAATTTCAGTCCATGATGAATACTACTTAATTAAAATCCCCATTCATCTCAAAAAATGCATAACTATATTAGTTGGATCAGCTTCTTTGGATTCCTTTAAATTGCATATATTAAATATCGGCTGTGAATTCATCTCAATCAACTTCAAAGGTAAAACGAATTTATTGACTTTTCTTTACCATTAAACAGTCTGTTTCTGTTAGGCTAATTATATTTATTTCAAGTTGTTATTCATCGTAGACTGACATCAGTTGGAGGAACGAAGGAAACCTGGGAGCACTGGACAGCTGTTTCGTACCAGTATGAGACTCCTCAGCAGTGCGCACCCACGACCCCACCAACAGGGATCGAACCCGCGGCCTTCAGGTTCCGCGGCCAGCGCGTTACCATTGAGCCACTGAGTCAGAATCCAATGCTCCATATTTCCAACTTCTGTTAGCTCACGATATGGCCGCGGGACCTGAAAGTCGCGGGTTCGATCCCTGCTGGTGGGGTCGTGGGTGCGCACTACTGAGGAGTCCCATACTGGTACGAAACAGCTGTCCAGTGCTCCCAGGTCTCCTTTGTTCCTCCAACTGATGTCAGTCTACGATGAATAACAACTTGAAATAATTCCAAATCTCCACAACTCCCTCAAAATTTAATTATATTTAGACAGACATAATTCAAAGATATACACTGTATCTGTCAGAGTTTGCTGAAGCATACTCGAGATAGATGACGTTGGAGAGTACAGTACATTACCCTTTGAGGGTATTGTAAGGTTAAAAAAAAAGTGATTCGAGGTCTCCTCTTTGCTGTTACTGTGCACTCTAGATAATCATCATTTACAGCTTTTTCTGTGACTTATGATGCTTTCCGAATACGATCAACAATTTAGGTTGATCTGCTGACTTTCGCCTTGACAGTTGATCAACCTTCTATTGATGGGAAGCGTATCCCTCTCGTCACCTGACTACACAGAGGTTGATGTAATCGCGGGAAAATTTTCGTTAGAACCAGAATACTCAGCGGACACAGTTCTGCTAGGTGAAGATGCTGAGAGGATGCAGAGGCTTCGCGAAACCTCGAGTGCGATTCGAGAATGTTTGGGATGCGTTTCTCATCACCCAAATGCAAATTGTTACCCACGATTGGTGTTCAACAGTGCCTCAGCTAACAGTAGAGAGTGTAGTGGTTGAGTGTGTCGACGACTTCACTTACCTGAGAAGTGTGGTCAGCC